CACGGACCCAGAAGAGTTGATCGCTGGGCGGCAATGGTGGCTGAATAATAAATAGCGGTGTTGGGTTGCGTGTTTAATTCAACTTTCAAGTCCATGTCAATGGCTGCCTGCACTTTACAGAGACAAAAGTCTAACAATGACATCCTTCCGAAAAAATAGTTCGTCCTCGGGCATTGTCCTTGGCCCACAGCAGGAGACATTTCAATGACGACAACAGCGCACTCTACACAGTGCGCACTTTACACATAGAGGGTATTATTATTACAATTAAAGAGTCATTAATTATCAACATTATTATTGCAATTAAGGAGTCATTAACTATCAACATTGTAAAAACAACAACAACAGAGTTACTGCGCTTTCCGTTGTCACTGACTATTAAAACTAAATTAGCAAAGACTTGGCTAATTGAAGTTCCGAGTTCAAAGGTCAAAAGAGGTTGACCCATATAAAACCATTCTCTACCCATACATACACCCATCCTTCTTCTCTGTTGGTCCATGCTGATTTTAGCTAACCCCCCCCTCCCCTCCACCCCCCCCCCAATGCCAGTGTTGCACGTCCAACAATCTCTAAACAAGAGAATGGCATTTGATCAAAGGCTGTCATCACAGGTCCCATTGTAACAAGTCACAGGTCCCATTGTAACAAGTCACAGGTCCCATTGTAACAAGTCACAGGTCCCATGGTAACAAGTGTTCTCACTACACATGTACAGGGTGGATCTTCCTGAGTACCTGTGTGCAGGGTGGACCTTACCTAACAACAGATACAGATGTGCAGGGTGGACATTACCTAACTATAGATGTGAAGGGTGGACATTACCTAACTACAGATGTGAAGGGTGGACCTTACCTAACTATAGATGTGCAGGGTGGGTCTTACCTAACAACAAGTGTGCAGGATGGACCCAAGGCCGGCGTTAGGCCACAGCAACCAATGCGGCCGCAGTGGGCCCCGAACTTTATTTTCTGATACAAAATCTTAATTTTCACTTATTATCCTTATCCCTACCCAGACTGGGCCCCGCGCAATCCGTTCCGCATAGGGCCCCGCAATTGTTAGGGCCGGCCCTGGATGGACCTTACCTAACTACAGATGTGCAAGGTGGACTTTGCCTAACTGCAGATGTGAAGGGTGGACCTTAGCTAACTCCAGATGTGAAGAGTGGACCTTACCTAACTGAAGATGTAAAGGGTGGACCTTACCTAACTTCAGATGTGAAGAGTGGACCTTACCTAACTGAAGATGTAAAGGGTGGACCTTACCTAACTTCAGATGTGAAGAGTGGACCTTACCTAACTGAAGATGTAAAGGGTTACCTAACTACAGATGTGCAGAGTGGACTTTACCTAACTAAAGGTGTGCAGGATTGGCCCTACTGATGCAAACAACAAACAGTGCCCACGGGTGGCCCATTCATAAAAAGTAGAATCAGGAAATGTCAATGGCCACATGTTGAAACAAAGCACAATGCCATCAATGTCACTTCACACAGTGCCCCATGGTCAGGTGCCTCGTCCCTCTTTATTGTGTTTATGGCTACATCATCACGGGTTGGCACATAATGGTGCCCCCCTCCCCATCATCTTCACACCAGTGTGGCACTTCTTTAACACATGTCTGCATGTACACATCACAATGCCCCCCCCCCCCATTTTCCCCTGATACCATTATTGGCGTGGAGTAATCAGTACAGGAATACGAAGCAAACAAAAATCAATCAATCAATCAATCAATCAATCAATCAATCAATCAATCAATCAATCAATCAATCAATCAATCAATCAATCAATCAATCAATCAATCAATCAATCAATCAATCAATCAATCAATCAATCAATCAATCAATCAATCAATCAATCAATCAATCAATCAATCAATCAATCAATCAATCAATCAATCAATCAATCAATCAATCAATCAATCAATCAATCAATCAATGAAATAGTTTATGGAATACAGTGTAAAACAGAGGAGCCTTGTACGTTAGAACCATCAAGCCCTTGGCTGACAGCCACTTTAGACAACGTATGAAACTTATGGAAGTGTGTGTGACAGAAACACAGAGACAAGCATGACACACGAAAAGTGGAGAATGTCTAAAAATAACGAGTGAACTGGACGTGGTATGGGGGTATAGGGGGATGCATAGCAATCAAAGACCGGGGGGGGGGGTGGGGGCATAAGCTACAGGGTGTACACAACAAAATGGAGGACTCTGACTTAACACATAGTGGTGGGCATAACATACAGTGGTGGGCACAGCACATAACATGAGACACAACACATAACAAAGGACACAACACATAACGGTGGACACAACACATAAAGGTGGACGCAACACATAACGGTGGACACAACACATAAGAGTGGACGCAGCACATAACGGTGGACACAACACATAATGGACACAGCCTGCAGTGGTGGACAAAACACAGATTAACGGCGGAGACAACACACAACAGTGGACACAACACATAACGGGTGGACACAACCGATAACTGTGGACACAACACATAACATTAACTGTGGACAAAACACAAACATTGCTGCAACACACACTGTGTTTGTCTTTAACTTCTAGATCTAAGTGTGCTCTCTCATTTGAAACATTTAAAACAACAACAACAAACAAACCCTATCAGTTTAAGGAAGTACAAAAATCAAGCAGGATTCTGCCTGGGTCGCCTTGGTTAATCAAAATTTAATCTTAAACTAACATCTCATTAAATGCACGCGATGGACAGTTTATCTACAAGAGCGTGTAGTGTTTATTTTCTTTCTCTCTCTGTATATATATATATATATATATATA